TGGGTGACTTCAGGTCAATCACTAGGAGATAGAGACTTCTAGTCCCACTTTGGGCAGGAAAGCTGATTGGGTGACTTTGGGCTAATCACCAGGAGACGAAGAATCCCCTCCCCTTTTGCTCCTCTTTTAATCCCTATGGGAAGGGGCATTCACCGTCCACTTGTGGCTTTACTCCCACGTCGACCCTTAGTTTGTAATTGTTCTTGTCTTTTGGCAGCTCTGTGCATGCACAGGCTTGGAACCAGTTCCAGCTGCTCACCTGCCTCACTGCTGTCTGACTCTGAAGGCAGCTGATGACTGGCAACCTTCCCTGGCCCCCTCTGTGCCTCTGATGCAGAGTCCTCGTCCAAGGCTTCCTCAGCCTCCAGGACTGGCCCAGGTTCCTCCCCAACCTCCTCACTGTCCAACTCGGCTGCCAGCTCTGCTAGCTGCTGGTGGGCCACAACACTTCTTCTCATTCTCCACTTTTTGATCTTTTATCTCCCTTCTCTTCTCTCCCTTCCTAGATGCCCCCAAAGGCGTCCAGGTGACCCTCGAGCCCCCCTCGAAGAACATCCGGGTGGGAGACACCGTGTCTCTAATTTGCAATGTCAACAGCAGCTACCCAGAACCCACGGCCTTCCGGTGGTTCAAGGATGGCATCGCCTGCGGGACTGAGCAGGTGAAGATCATCCAGCGCGCTTCCCTGAAGGATTATGGACGCTACCATTGCGAGGCAGAAAACCCACTGGGCACCGGGTTGGCTGAAGGGGTGCCGCTCCCCATCTTTGGTGAGTACCCACAACCAGGGGTGGGATTCAAAAATCCCAACAACCGGTTCTCTGCCCAGTTTCTGGGTGGGCATGGCCAACGTGGACATGACCTACCAGAATTTCCGGGAGGGCTGTTTTTTGCCTTCCCCAGAGTCCGGAGGCTTCCCTCGGGCCTCTGGGAGGATGAAAATGGTTTTCCGCAGGCTCTGGAGGCCCTCCGGAAGCCAGAAACAAGCCCATTTCTGGACTTTTGGAACTTTCCAGAACCTCCATGTGGGCCCTGCACTTACCTGCATCCAAAACGGGCCACATGGAGACTCCTGGGAGGGGAGGGGAGGGGAGGGGTGGGCATGGCCAGATGGTAGACTCAACTACTGGTTCAGTGAACCAGATGTAAATTTAACATCCATTTCGCTTGAACCGGCCCAAACCGGCTGAATCCCACCTGTGCATGCCACCCATATAAGTTTAAGAGTAGCATCTAGACCAGGGATGTCCCAACTTAGCAACTTTTAAGGCTTGTAGACTTCAGTTCAGGACCTGACCTGGGGGGGCTCACATTGCAGCCTTGGTCAAAAGGGCCCAGCAGAGTTTATACTGTCTGAGACTTCTCAGGAAACAACAACTGGATGAAAAACTGATGGTGACCTTCTACTGCTGCACCATAGAGGGTATCTTAACTTACTGCACCTCTGTATGGTTTGCCAATTGCACAGGGGCAGATAGGACAGCGCTCCAGAGGGTTAACGTCATTGCCCAGAGGATCATTGGTTGCCCTCTCCCCTCTTTGGAAGAATTTTATAGCTCCCGCTGCCTTAAGAAAGTTCAAAACATCCTCAAAGATCCATCTCATCCTGGGCACCCCCCCCCCTTTTTTTGAACTATTACCATCTGGCAGACGGTACAGGATAATAAAAACAAGGACAAATAGGCTGAAAAACAGCTTCTATCCCAGGGCAGGAGCTCTTTTGAATTCTGCTGTATAGTGCAGTGTCGGTGTGGTGTCGGGGTTTTTCGGTTCAATGAGTGGAGGGTGAAGGATGTGTGTTTGTGTTTATTTTCATGGTCATGATGTGCACTGAAGATGGTGTTTGATTTTACGAGGTGCAATGACAATAAAGTAAACTATTCAATTCAATTCCCAGAATTCCCCAGCCAGCATGTTTTAAGAGGAATAGACTTCCAATCCCAGAATCCCCCCAGCCAGCATGCTTTAAGAGGGGAGGACTTCAATTCCCAGAATCCCCCAGCCAGCATGCTTTAAGATGGTGGACTTCAATTTCCATATGTTGCAAACATAACACCAAGTCCCCTCTTCATCAACCTTTTCTCTATGCCTACAGGGGATGATGGGAACTGAAGTAGCATGGACTTCCCTCCCCATTCTATTTCAAGATGGTGGTTCCCAGGGGAGGGAGACCAGGATACTAAGTTAGCTTGTGGTTAGTTTGTCTGGTTGGCTGCTACCAAGTGTGTTGGACTACAGCAAGGTTCTTCAAACTTGGCCACTTTTAAGACTTGTGGACTTCAACTCCCAGAATTCTGAGAGTTGAAGTCCACAAGTCTTAAAAGTGGCCAAGTTTGGGGGAACTCTGCTCTACTTACAGTGGTTTACAATCCCATCTTCCTCAACTTCCCAGCTGCTGTACTATCAGCCAGTCCTTCCTCCAGCATCAGAGAAGGTGAGATGGTCACCTTGACTTGTGAGGTCCCTGGAGAAGACCTTCAGGAGATCCACTACAGCTGGTTCAAGAACAACATCTGGTTCAAGGAAGGCTCTGCCCGCATCCTGACCTTACAGGAAGCAGCTGCCGGCGACACGGGCTACTACACCTGCAAAGTCCAGAACAATAAAGGAAGCGAGACCTCTTCCATCCTCGGCTTAACCGTCTTCTGTAAGTTTGGGCAATTTCTCTTTTGTGTGTGTTTTCTCTTTGGAGAAATGTGGCTAGCAAAAACCAGCCCTTCAAGGTTGCTTATTAATGGTATTATTATTGTTATTATTGTTATTATTATTCATCGCACAGTCAGCCAGATGTTCAGACTGGGCTTGGCATTGTGGTCTACCTATCAAGTCCTTCCCAAGGACCTGGGATAGGCAAATCTGGATGTTTGATGCTGTTACAGATATCGCCACAGGATGGAAGCTGTTCCAAGTATAGCTGCCTTCTGCAATTGACTGATGGCAAATTTGTCAATGCCTAGGTGGTTCAAGTGGTGCTCCAGTTGTTTTGGGACTGGACCCTAGGCTCTTACTCCTATTGGTCCTACCCTTGCTTGCCTTTGCCATAGTCGTTCTATTTCTATTTTCAGGTCTCTGAATTTTGTTATCTTCTCCAGTTTTTTCTCTTTTCTTCTGCTGTCTCCAAGCACTGCCACATCCACTATCCAAATTTTGTTGTCTTTATTATCAACAACTATTAAAGTCCGGGGTGTTATGTGGGCAGGCGCCTGTCTGTCTGGATTCTGAAGTCCCAGAGCAATTTAACTTTTTCATTTTCTATGACTTTTTTTTTATTTTATGGTCCCACCAGTTCTTGTTTACAGGCAAATGATATTTCTTGCAGATCTTCCAATGCACCATTGTTACTCCTTTGTCATGTCACTGCTTGTAGTCAGTTTGTGCAATCTTCTTGCAGCAGTGGACCAGGTGGTCCACTTCAGCTTCTTTGCATAGGGAGCACTTACTGTCTGTTTCTGTCTTCTCAATTCTGACTTTGTATACATTTCTCCTTAAGGCTTCATTTTGCACAGCCAGAATTAATCCTTTGGTCTCTTTCTTTAACTTTCCTGCTTTTGGGCGCCATTATTATTATTATTATTATTATTATTATTATTATTATTATTATTATTATTATT